TTGGTAAGAAATGTACGCATTATCCTGCCCATGTAATTGTAACCCCTCTGTACAGTATGTTCACAAATAAAATAAAATTAAATTTAAAAAAAAACGAAAGAGTTCAGGGACAGCACCCAGGCCCTGAAGTCAAGCCCTAACACACACACACGCACACACACGCACACACACACACACACACACACACACACACACACGAGCATCTTGACATCTGAGGACAGCAGGGAGCTCAATGGTTAATAGACCGAATCCTCATTGGGTACACGTAGGAGGTGGCCGGGTGTCTGAGATATGTAGGGCCTTCCCAGGGACTGGGCTCCTGCAAGCCCCCTATGAGGAGCTGCGCGCTGGGTTTGTAGAGGCGCCCTGCCTTCTGCCTTCTGCCCCTCCACAGGTCCCTGGGTGCTGCTGTGGAGGCCGGTTGGGCCTTCATTCTCTAGTGATGAGCAGCCGGCAACTTTTATCAACTGTGTGGGATGCTGGAAATTTCTGGAATTAGATAATGGTGGTAGTAGCCAAGTTCTGGCGATTCTAAAATCCGTTGAGTCGTACGCTGTGAGTGAGCAAATTGTGAGCACCATAACGCTTTTTCTGAAAACCACGCACGGAGACTTCTAAGTAAATGCCCTTCCTTGTTCCTTTGGATTTCTGCAGAATCTGGAAGAGGAGTTAGACACGAAGGACAGAGTGATTAAAAAGCTGCAAGACCAAGTGAAGAATCTGGCCAAAACCGGGGATAAAGGTAGGAAGGCTGTGTTCTATGTCTTATATGTGATCCAAAGCCTGCGAAACTCAAGGGAAGGATTCTCCATGGGTCCATTTTGGAGTCTCATGGATGGGCTAAAAAGAAAGATCTTTGCAGGCAGGAAGACAGCTCGCTGCCCTTCAGGTAACACCAGAATTGCCTGTGTTACTACAGGAGCTATCCAAAAATGAATACATTTAACCTCCTGTTAGCTGCACCCTCCCTGGCAGCACTGGGATTTGAACTCAGGACCTCTCCCGTGCTATCCAGGAGCTCTACTGCTTGTATCATACCCACAAATCTTTTTTACCTCAGTTGTTGTTTTTTTAAATAGAAGGTCACTTTTTGCCCTTGCCAGGCTGGACCATGATCCTCCTGTGTACTCTTCCCACAGCCGGGATGACAGGTGGATGCCACCACATCCTGCTTTTATTGGTTAAGCGAGAGTCTCAAATTTTTTCCAGGTAGGCCTTGAACCACCACCAGTCCTCCTGAGTAGCTAGGATTATAGATGAAAGCCGCCACATCCAGCTTAGCTCCTGGTTTTAAGAATGAAATTGTGAACCAGTTTCAAACATCATTGCCTTGACATTCATCTTCTATCCTTGTTACATACACAGATTCAATAAGAATCCTCCCCTTTTAGCCAAGCACTGGTGGCTCACGCCTATAATCCTAGCTACTCAGGAGGCTGAGCTCTGAGGATCTCGGTTCAAAGCCAGCCAGGGCAGGAAAGTCTGTGAGACTCTTATCTCCAGTAAACCACTAGAAAACCAGAAGTGGCACTGGGCTCAAGCGGTAGAGCACTCTCCTTGAGCTGTAGAGCTGAGGGACAGCGCCCAGGCCCAGAGTTCAAGCCCCACAACTGACAAAAAAAGAAAAGAATCCTCTCCTTTTTTTGTCACTCCTGGGATTTGAACTTGGGGCCTTAGGTCCTTTCAATTGTTTGGCTGGTACTCTATCACTTGAGCCATGCCTCCAGCCTGGCTTTCAGGTAGTTGTTTTTTTTTTTTTGGTCCAGTCGTGGGGCCTGAACTCTGGGCCTGAGCGCTGTCCCTCAGCTCTTCAGCTCAAGGCTAGCACTCTACCACTTGAGCCACAGCGCCACTTCCGGCTTTTTTTTCTTTTTGCTTATGTGGTGCTGAGGAATCGAACCTAGAGCCTCAGGCATGCAAGGCAAGCGCTCTACCACTGAGCCACCTTTCCAGCCCCCTCGCCTAAAATCCTAACTACACAGGAGGCTGAGATCTTAGGATTGTTGTTCAAAGCCAACCTAGGCAGGAGACGTCTCTGAGACTTTTATCTCAAAGTCATCAGCAAAAAACCAGGAGTGGAGCCATGGCTCAAGTAGTACAGCATCAGCCTTGAGCAACAAAGCTAAGGGACAGCACCTTGAGATTTAGCCCTAGTAACACACACACACACACACACAAACACACACACGGGTAGGAATGCAGCTCAGTGCTAGAGCATATGCTTAGCATGTATGAGACCCTGGGTTCAGTCTTCAGCATGGAAAATACATAATTTGAAAGCCGGCGCCTCTGACTCACGCCTGTAATCCTAGCTACTCAGGAGGCTGAGATCTGAGAATCGCGGTTCAAAGCCAGCCCGGGCAGGAAAGTCCGTGAGACTCTTATCTCCAATAAACCACCAGAAAACCGGAAGTGGCGCTGTGGCTCAAGTGGTAGAGCACTCGCCTTGAGCTGAAGAGCTGAGGGACAGCGCCCAGGCCCAGAGTTCAAGCCCCATGACCAACCAAAAGAAGAAAGAAAGAAAATACATAATTTGATAAATAAATAAATCAGTGTGTTGCCACAAAGTTTATTGGTAATTTGTCTTGGCAGTTATAGGAAGTTATCATGGCCCTCCCTCTCCCCACGTCCCCCTACCCCATGCTGGGACTGAGTGTTTTAGAAGTTTGCACTGCAAGCAAAGTACCTTGTTTCCTTCACACCTGGAACCCAGACAGCAACCTGGGTCTCTCCTCTTCTCCTTGCACTGGAGATATGGGCCAAGCACCTATGGGTTTGGCACAGCTGCTTGCCCTGAGGTACCACAGGCCCACTGTGGGAAGCCGCTATGGGAGACACTCTTCCCACCTCAGGGCAGCTTGAATCTGCTCCAGCAGTCCATGCGCAGGAGGAGATGAGCAGTGTCTGTATCACCCTGGGGTTTTGTATTGTGAGTCTGGCTGATGGATTGCCTCTGTTTGCAGCCAATGCCAGGCCCTTGTCCTTGGGACCCAAGGAGTTCCTGGGGATGCTGGAATACAGAAGAGAAGACGAGCCCAAGCTCATTCAGAACCTCATCCTTGGTAGGAAAAGCCAGACCTCTGAATCTTGGTCATGCCGCTGCTATGTTAAGCAAAACAGTCCTTTCCCAATCCTCCCTCTTCCTGCCTCTGCCCTGTACTTCCTCAACCTCAATCCTGCTGGGGGAGAGAGACGTGCACATATCCTTGGCTCTGAGCTTTCTCTGCTCACTCTACCACTTGAGCCCAGTTCCACTTCCAGGCTTTTGCGGGTTAACTGGAAATAAGAGGGTCACAGATTTGTCTGCCTGGGCTGGCTTTGAACTGCAATCCTGAGATCTCAGCCTCTAGAGGAACTAGGATTTACAGGCGTGAGCCGCTGGCACCCACGCCCTAGACCTCTGTGTATCACTAGAAAGCAGTAGTGAACCAATAGTTCATAGGCCCTGTGTGCCTAGGCCCTGCTTGACTCACAGACCCTTGGCCTGCCCAGCAGCTCCTGAGGAGCCGAGCTCAGCTCAGCGGGCATCTTTGCCGTCTGTCTCTCTCCTCTCCAGACTTGAAGCCCCGCGGCGTGGTGGTGAACATGATGCCGGGGCTGCCGGCTCACATCCTGTTCATGTGTGTCCGCTATGCAGATGCCCTCAACGACGCCAGCATGCTCAAGTCCCTCATGAACAGCGCCATCCACGGCATCAAGCAAGTGGTGAAGGTAGGGGATGGCCTTTCGACACTGCACCCCGGTGGATCTGGTCTCGGAATGACCACATGACCATTTTGGCCATCGTGAGCCTCCATCTCCATGAGCTATACAGGAGTCCTCAGACCAGTCTGAGGCCCAGCTAGGGCGTGAAGCCAAACAGTTAGGACCAGACAAGTAGACATGCATCTGTTAGTAGTTCTCAGAGTCATATGGTTGAAGACAGCATCCTGGAAGCCACTACCCACAATGCCCCTGTGCCCAGGGCGTGGGGGCTGTAGCTATGAGGGTGTGCATGCTTTCAGCCCAGTGAGCATCAATGAGCTGGGCTGGAAAGAAGTGGAAAATTACTCATGTCCTCCATTTCCAACTGGGGAATTCTTGCTCCTAAAACCCACAGTGCATACGGCCATTTCCTGTGCAGAAATGGGGCTGAGCTGTGTGTGCCCATGAGGTTAATTGTAAGGCTAAGATAGTGTAGCTAAGTGGTGCTGTGGCTCAAGTGGTAGAGCATTAGCCTTGAGCTGAAGAGCTGAGGGACAGTGCCCAGGCTCAGAGTTCAAGGCCCACAACCAACAAAAACAAACAAAACAAAACAAGATAGTGTAGCTAAGAGACACTCCTCACCCCCAAATAGACGGCGCTTCTAGTGTTTCATAATGAGCCATCCACATTGGAGGTAACTACCTGCACCTGGCTGCTTGTTTGTTTGCTTCTGCTTAGACAGAACTTTGGGCTCACTCAAGTTTCCTTGCTCACAGCTAGTGCTCTGCCTCTTGAGCCGTGCCTCCAGTGTGGCTTTTTGCTGGTTATTTTGGAAAAAGAGTCACAGAGACTTTTCTGACCAGGCTAGCTATGAAACTTGAGCCTTAGATCTCAGCTTCCTGAATAGCTAGGACTATAGATATGAGCTACTAGCATCTGGCTGATAAATTAGATTTTTTTTTTGTTGGTCGTGGGGCTTGAACTCTGGGCCTGGGTGCTGTCCCTGTGCTCTTCAGCTCAAGGCAAGCGCTCTACCACTTAAGCCACAGCGCTACTTCTGGTTTTCTAGTGGTTTATTGGAGATAAGAGTCTCACGGGTTTTCCTGCCCGGGCTGGCTTTGAACCTCAGTCCTCAGATCTCAGCCTCCTGAGTAACTAGGATTACAGGCATGAGCCACTGGTGCCCAGCTAGGTTTTTTTTTTTTAAGTGTACATTTTGTTCCAGCCCTAGACACACTGTATTTATCTCCTCCTGCGACTCAGGTTCTGTAGCTTCATATTTATACTCCAAAAAGTGCATGACAGGACGGAGGGAAAGCTCAGTTCTCAGCAACATCTTCCATGTCAGCTTCACCTCCCTTCCTGCCTTCCTCCACGCTCAGGACCTGCCCCACCTTCCTTCCACACAGCGCTTTTTAAAGCTAGATCCTGGGCCTCTATAGTTTCTTCAGCCTCTGTTCTCAGTCCTCCATCCCCTTCCTGCTTATTAGAGGCCTTCACAGTACTCTTTCCTATTCCTCCCTTCTAGCTTCTACCTTATGTAGCTCCTTCCTGAAAGCTGGACGGCTGCTCCTCCAATAGTAGAGCTCTCCTCTTTACTGTCCTGAAATTGACTAAAGCACTGACGCTATCTCTTTGGACCTCTCCTCCCTGAGTCCAACACTTTCCCAGTTTCCCTCTTCATCTCTAACCATGGTGCCTGAGCCTTCTTGCTCCTTCTTCCTCTTCCTGCCCCAGGAACAGCCCTCAGACATCTTTGTTCTCTCCTCCCTGTCCTCCTGAGGTAGGCCCTCCCACCTCACCCCTGCTTGTCCATGATCTCCCCATCCTCTGGTGCAAATCATCCAGGAGCTTGATTACCTGCTTAATGGTGTCCTGTGTTGGTTAGACTGAACGTGCAAGAAAAGACTCCCTTAGGCTGGGAAGGTGGCTTAGTGGTAAGTGCTTACCTAGCATGCATGAAGCCCTGGGTTCGATTCCTCAATACCACATACACAGAAAAAGCTGAAAGTGGCGCTGTG